ATTACAAATACGGGAATTCATTACTTTCATACATTAATCTAAGGACAATTTAAATCAAATGTGTTGTTGAAATCAAAAGTAGGGTACACGCTTTCGTTCTATGACCGCTTCCGTATGCGATTTCATCAGTCATTATGCCCTTTTGTGTCGATTTTTTCCTCCCCCCAGATCCACTCCCCGATCCCCTACCCTTACAATCATTCCTCGTGTGTCCAAAATGACCGCATGTAGAACATTCTTGTCGTATGGGACGCTCACCTTGCGATGGAATACGGCCAGTGTTTCTTGGTCTACCCGGCTGACGTCTCTCCATTATGGGTGGCTTCACAATCATCAAATCATCGGGAATCTCCCACTCAGATGGACTTGGTAAAGGGTTCACAGACTCCTCGTAAGTTTTCCTCAGTGTCTCTGTAAAGTAAGCTTTTAAAGCAAATTCCGAACAATCTTCGTAACGGTTCATTGTGAGCACTTTTATGACATGGCCACAAGGTAAGTCATCTATTTGCCATCGCCTACATGTACAGGTTCTTTGTTGTAAATCAACAATGACACTTTTGTGAGTAGAGCTTTTCACTTCAAATCTACTATTTGAGATAGGATACACCATCCAATTATTACAAGCTTTCTTATTTGCTTCTATAATCGTTTCAGCCCATGGGGTGAGTGTTGTTTTTGCTTCAACTAAAAAAATAGACATAATTTCATAATATCATATAAGTAGTAAAATAAAATTTCAAGTACTATTATATATAAAATATTAGTACCTGCAACATTACGTTTCTGAAAACTCCATTGTTGCATTGTTGCACGGAAATACTCAATCAACATCAATATTGGCATCTTTCTTGCAAATCTTGACATTTAATCTATCGACTCTGCACTATTTGATGTCATAAGAAAATACCGATTCCCAGGAAAATGTGCCCTAGCCCATCTTTCTGGATTGATGTTTTGTTGGTATTCCCATACACGAGCATTTACCTTTTTAATTTTTTTCATCCCATTATCGAATTTTTTAATAGTATAGGCTTTGCATGTCTCCCAAAATAATGCGTGTATTGTATCGCTGCTTCCGAATTTTGCTGAAATGTTGCAATACAAATGGATACCACATATTCCATGATGGGCGTGAGGAAATATATTTGCAATTGACGTCGCTATGGATGGAGCTCTATCAGATATGAATGTAAGGTCTTCCACATTGCCTATACATTCACATACTTTTCGAAGGAACCAGGACCATGTCTCCGTACATTCACTTTTGCATATGGCATAAGCAACAGGCATGATTTGGTTTTGACCGTCCATTGTCACTACGAGCAACATCGTACCCTTGAATTCACCCTTTAGGTGACCACCGTCAATTAGGGTCGGCCTACAATATTTGATGAACGCTTGTACCTACAATTATTTTTGATGGCATTAACAAATACCAATTAGGATTCATATGTTATATTTGTTATAAAAAATTATCACTGCTTACCGAGCAACCCAGCGCGATATACACGAACTCAAACCGATCATCATCATCTGTTCTTATCTGAGTAATAGTTCATGGATTATGCTTGACCAAGTTGTGCAGATACGCTGGTAGTTTGGTGAATGAATCCTCTTTGGTACCTCTTAACATCAACAACGCATATTGTTTTGCCCGCCATGTCTGTTGGTATGAGATATTGATTGGAAATTTCGAATTGATGTCCCTCACAATTTCATTACCCCGATAAACTCTATTATAATATCCGACCAATACTTCAGCGATAAAGTGGCCGAGTACCTTTTTCTTTGATTGTCGATGATTAGACTCCAAGTTTGTTGCACAACAAGTGTGTTGGTCAACAACTTTTGTGACTTGGAAAGCAGTAGTCGATTTGATTCCCCTTGCCCTAACCATCCAAGAACAATTGTGTACCAAACAACCACCTCGAACCTTTCTTTGCTCGATCTGGTTGTCTTATACTATTTACCTTGTTCCATGCATTGTCTTCCAATTACAAGCTTGAGCAACTCTTTGTCATCAAAAATGTCTAGAACCTTAATCTCTTCATTTATATCTACCCTCTGACATGGAATGTTCACATCATCGTTTATAGGACACGAAGGCAATGGGGGCATACCATGAAACATGGTATCTAAATAAGTAAGTTTAGGTTCATCATCAAATTCTTCTCCGTTAGAATCACTCTCTAGGCCGGATATATCCAACTTGTCACAATCCGCAAACTCGCCGTATCCTTTTAGTTCACCATCATGCAAAAATGGAACTTCTTGTTTTCCAGATTCATTACCAACCTTATTCACCACGTCTAGTGCTTTTTTTTTGTCAAAGTAATGATTTACACCAACATCATTAACATATGTATCAACATTATTATCACCGATATACTTATAATTCTCCGGTGTAACATACATAGTCGGTTCTGGCACTACAGGCACTACATTTACATTTTCAGCGACACTATGATATTGACTTTTACTTGGACTTTTAAAATTACCTATTGGGTTGTTGCTCCCTTTTCCACTTGATAAATTAGCTGCAGATGCCTTTCCTCTATCATCCACTTCGGTACGCGAAACGCCTTCTTCAACCACCACATAGACAGACACAGATTTATCTCTAACGACATTTATTATCTTGATCAGCTTTCTAATATCACGATTATCAACAATACCACAATAATAGAGTTGTTCTGGATGTTGATAAGTCATACTGACTTTTGATTCTTCGGGAAGACACATCTTGCACTTCACCAAATGAACAAATTCGGTGTACGTGGTGGTTTCGTAAAATTCAACACCGAAATAAAACATTCTCGGATTGTATTCGGGTGGCCAAACATATGATAATTGGGAATTAACAAACTCCCAACTTCCATCCGTAATGAGCAAATACGAAATACTCGTTACAACTCATTATGTTAATTTTGAGAATAAAGAAGCTAGAGAGAAGTGCAGTTTTCAAAATACGAAATAATTTCAAAAATATGAAATACTTAATATATATATATATATATATATATATATATATATAGGGTATGTTCAAATAGTAGTCCACTCTGACAAAAAAGTAGTCAAGTTTAACAAAATAGTAATCAACTCTGACAAAAAAGCAATCAAGTTTTACAAAACAGATGTCAAATCTGACAAAAAAGTAGTCAAGTTTAGCAAAACATTACTCAACTCTGACAAAAAGTAGTCAAGTTACCAAAAATATTTTCAAATTTACCAAAAAAAATCAGTCAACAAATTCAAAAAAAAATAATCTACAATTTAACAAAAAAAAATTGTATTAATTCTTAAAAAACTAGTTTATATTTTACAAAAAATATTTTTTAACAAAATAATTGTCAAAAAACAACTCTACATTTTATAAACAATATAATTAAAATAATTCTACATCTTATAAACAATCTTTTTAATACTCTATATCACAAAAAGAATACGTTTTTTTTTAAGTCTAATGTTTTCAATTCTCAAAAAATTTTAACAAAATAATTGTTAAAATAATTCTACATCTTATAAAAAAAATTTAAAAAAATTCAAAAAAAAAATTAAAACGGTAGGTTTTCTCACAAAAACAGTAGATTAAACCCCAAAACAGTAGATTAAAAAAAACGTATTTTTATCCCCAAAACTGTAGGTATACCGAGAGGAAACCGTAGGTTTTAGAAAACCTACGGTTTTGTTGCTTACAAATGAAAAAAAAATTATACAAAACACGAAACAGTAGACGAATATAGAAACTTACGGTTTCGTGGGCTATATTTGGACATTCACTAATTTTGGCTAAAAATTGCTAATCACTTCCTTAATTTGGCTAGATTAGTAATTACCCCTATAAATAATGAAAAAAATATTATTATAACCGCTTATTGTAGAATTAGCAAGTTTCTAGGAACCATAACAACCACGATCATCTTTTCAAATAAACGTTTACATAGACGTAGATGGTAAACGGACAACAAGTTGCGCCGCAACCCCTTTTCAAATAGCGAAACATTACTCTGCATGACTCATTGGACTCTATTGAGGAGCTCCACAACATCTATCGCAAGCAAGAAAGTATCAAATACGAACGGTATAAACATGTGTTGATTTTTCATGCACGTTTTCTCATGTTTTGTCACTTTTCATGAGACAAATTTTAACAGTGAAAACTTGACTTCCCAAGACACAAGAGGTTTAAGCTATATAAGATATAAATGATATCTTTATGATTATACTAATGATATTTGTTAAAGAGAAACACAAAAAAAATCCAAAATTGATATATAAATGATCATTATTATGCTTTTTAATAAAAAAATTATTTTTATTTTAAGTTTTAATAAACAAATATAAGTTTTTTTAATAAATTTAGTATATATATAAAAAAAAATCTCCAGAAAAATCATTAAACTTTAAAAAAGTTATTTATTATTTTTTTTGTTTACATTTAAAACCTTAAAACCGATACTAACCAATTAAAATGGTTATTTTTTAAAAACCGATACTAACCAATTAAAATGGTTATTTTGTAAGTATTTATCGATTTCGATGGTTAAATCGAATAAGAAAAATCAAAAATGATTTTTTTTTATGAATAGAACAAAAATAAATAGACTTCTTACGAATTTCCCATAATTAAATGTGTTCGAAACAATGTGTCGACATAAATTTCAAAACTTTAAAACCAGGCTTCACCCGGGCTTTTTTGGGCCAGGCCAGGCTTCAATCCGTAGACAGTGTTGACAATGTTGAATTCAACAAGTCAGTTTTTAAGTCCAACATAGATCAGTTTTGCACTATAGAATTTAAAAGATAGACCTTCAATTGTTAATTAACCATATAATCTTAATACATGCATCAGAAACGTTAATTAAAAAATAGGCAAAAAGCAAATACTATAATTCAGTATCCATTAATAATAATAAATAAATAAATGAATTTATGACAATAATTCTATTTTTTCTTTCTCTCGCTAGTCGCTATGCACTAATATGACTTTTGAGTTTTAATTAAACCAATGTGGAACAAGTGGAGGATGATGGGTCGTATAAGGATGGAAGCAGGTACTTTCTGCCGTTTGTACCATGTGCATTATAACTTGCACCTGTTGTCGAGTCCACCAACAAATCCCCTGCGTACCCAGGATAAGCTCCTTTAGCATACACACCAGGACATGCGGATGCAGCTTCTAACGGTGCACTTGCATCCCCCTGATAATAACCGTTTCCAAATGGGTTGGTGGCTGTAGCAGCCAATAAACCGGCCAAATTAATGACCATTCCGTCGAGACCGACATCGTTGTTGGGTGCCACCAGCGGTGCAGCCTGTGGTCCGTAGATCGGCTGGTGGAATGGCCACGCGCATTGACCCGCACACTGAGTTTCCGAGTTACCAACCCAGATGTACGCAAATTTGTAATTCTTTCCTTTCCCATTGGGAATCTTCGAAGATGATGACGAGGATCCGTGGGTCCCGCATCTGCTGGAGCAAAACCCATCAACTGCCACGTCGGATGCCGTTAACACGACGTTAACAGCGTTCCTTGACTCCCCTTTGGAAGCTAACTGAACCAGATGCTCGTCCGTCAACGACTTTCCAAGAGAATAAGCCGGGTCGGATATTTGTTTACCGAGTCGGAGTGTAAGTGAACGTTGCTTCTTTGATTTCATCTGATATTTCTCGGTGGTCTTCCACCACGTGGCGACGGATGGTTCGATCTGAGATTTTGGAGAAATTCCGGATCCGGAGGAGAGTGAGGTGATGAAATCGGAGACAATGGCTTTCTGCGACGGTTTGAAGTTGCCGTACCAGATGAAATTGACGGAGATATCTCCGGTGAGGAGAGCACCGTTGTGGTATTGCAAAAGGTTAGACGCGTCGCTGACTAACTCAGTGAGTCGTCTACCAGCAGAGGAGACGTGGAAGATGGAGACTACGAAGAGAAATTGAACCAGAAGACGAGCATTCGCCATTTTTGTGAAGGTTTTAGAGAGAGGAGGAAGGATTGGAAAGATGGAAAAGGTGAAGTGAGGAAGTGAGTACTGAGTAGTGAGTATTGAGACGACGGTGAAAATGTGATATTTATAGTGCAAACAAAAAAATTATATTTAAATTTTAGGTTGTTTTTTAGAACAAAAATAATAAAGAAAAGCATTTTGCTTAGCGGGCAAGAAGAACCTACAGCTGTAACTTGTTCCCAGTCCCACACGGGTTTGTAGTTATTAATGGATGCAAAATTCAAATCTTCACGCTCTTTTCAATTAATATTGATGTATATATAGATAATAAGATGCTTTAACTTATTATTCAATAAATGCGTAAAATAAAATTAAATTAAATACTACTCCATTTACAAACAAATGCGTAATTGAAAATGTTTATAATCGGAGATGGGTTTTAACAATACTTTTCTTTATTAAATAAAAGTTTGTATTGTTATTGTTATGATATTATAAAGTAAATAAAAACCATAAATAGGCTAACCGATCATTCTAGACGTGCAATCATAAAACGAATTCGCAGTTTGCAACAATATTAAGAAAATAAATAATCATTATCAATAAAACATTTGATCAAATTATAACATACATACTAGTTTATAATCCGTGAGAACTATAGTTATAAAATTAATTAAACTTTCATATTAAAAAATCAAAATTATTAATCAATTATTTTAAATAAATTATTACTTAAGAAATGTTTTTTTATTTATATAAAATTATAATTGTTGATTTAAATAAATACATGAAGTTATATCATCTTATAATTTGTATTAATTTTATTTTATTTTTTAATCTAATGTTATTAATTTAAAATAATTAAAGTGAAAATATTTAAAATTTACAATTTAAAATTTAAAATTTAATATAATTAGGGTGAGAAATTTAAATTTTAAAATGAATAATTAATATGTTAACAAGTGGCATCATAGGGGACATATAATATTAATGAAGATTTCTATTATAATGACATTTATCAATACAAGAATAAACATATTCATTTATTAGAATAGAGAAATTGTTAAAATTTATATTGTTTATTTTCAAACTAACATTTTAGTTGATATAGTTTAGATGTTTTATATAAGGGTGTTACAGGTAATATTGATATGTTGAAGGGTTGAATATGTTCAGTTGATTTCTCGGATCGGGTTAATGCGCGGATCTTCGGGTTGAAGGTGACCCGGATATTTAAAGGTCTTAGTGGCTTGTCTTGGTTCATTATTCAATCATTCAGATCACAGAGCTCTCTCGTTTCCTCTCATTTTAGGGTTTACTTTGTATTAAGGGTTTTCTGTGTGTTCTTGATATATAATTTTTGTTGTTCTTAATCATCTTTTAGATTAGGATGAGTGAAATGTTATTGAGAGTAGTATAGGACTTGTGTAGTGAGGTTGCTTTGTAAGTATATGAAAACCACCTGTCTGTTAGTCCTAAAATGATATAATAGATGGTGATGTTGGCTATCTTGAGTTTTACGAGTTTTTACATGGTATCAGAGCTTTAGGGCTCCGATTCTAGTCTCAGATCATCGCTTCGTCGTCGCTAAATCGAGGTAACTGTTTCGGTTTCCTTTCTTTTGTGTTTTTTTGTTTTGTTTGTTTCTCGATCTTGGTTACTGCGAGTTTTCTGTTTTGTATTGCAGAACTTCAAAGATCGGATCTCTTGTTTGCTTGGAAACTTTGTATACAGCTGGATCGGTTGGTTAATCTCACAAGATCTGAAATAACTCTCTAAGGGTCGGATTTCATCACCGATAAACCTTTGTAGAGAACGGATCTGAGAGTCGATCGGTTTTTTGTCTATCGGTTATCATCTGCTCTCATTGTGAGGTCTTCTTGTTCCTTTTTCGTTGGTTGTTCTGATAAGATCTTGTTTTAGTTTTTCAAGTTCTTGTTGTTTTCTTGATTCGGTGATTGCTTATCTTGGGCCCCGACATACTGTGGTGACCATCTGGACTCTAAGGCTTTCACTGATATCTTTGTTTGTTTGATTTCTTGCAAATATGACTGATTCTGGTGTTGAATCTTCTGGTGGGTCTGGGGCTAAACCAGATCCTGCTGTCAACTTTGATGATCCTTTGTATGTTCATCCTTCAGATTATACAGTTACTAGTGTTATCAGTTTCAAATTGTTAGGAACTGAAAATTTTAGGATATGGCGTAGTTCTATGGTTAGAGCTTTGAAGACTCGAAATAAACTTGGTTTTACTGATGGAACTGTGTCTAAACCTGTTAATGATCCTGTTAAAGAGTCTAAATGGGAACGTGCCAATGCTATTACTTGTTCTTGGATTCTTGGTTCTATTTCTGAGAATCTATATGCCAACCATGCTTGTTCAGAAAGTGCTTATGATCTTTGGAATGATTTAAATGAAACTTATCATAAAACAGATGGTTATGTTATTTTTAATGTCCATCAAAAAATTGTGTCTCTTTCTCAAGCTCGTTTGTCTTTGTCTGATTATTTTAGTAAACTAGATTCATATTGGAAAGAGTTTGATGGGTTAACTAGTCTTACTGAGTGTACTTGTGAAGTTGCTGATAGTTTTAAGAGTCGTTCAAAATTAATGAAGTTAATGCAGTTTTTGAGTGGTTTAGATGATTCTTATAATCAAGTTAAGAGTCACATTTTGTTAATGGATCCTCTTCCTTCTGTCAAAACTGCTTTTTCTTTAGTATCTCGTGAGGAGTCAAATAAAAAACATGGTTCTAATTCTTTAAATTCAAATTCTAAGAATTCTGCTTCCACTTTTGTATCCAAGTTTGTTGATCAGAAAAAATCTAAGTCAAAGGGTCAAATACCACAGTGTAAAAACTGTGGTCTTAAAGGTCATAATATTGATAAGTGTTTCAAAATCATTGGTTATCCAAAAGATTACAAGCCAAGGTCAGAAGTTAATAATCAAAATAAAACCTTTTCTAGTAATTCAACTTCTGTGTTTCAAACTGAAGTTTCTTCTGGGTCTAGAGCTGGTGATAATTGTAATGATTGTCATTTTTTAACTAATGAGCAATATTCTAAGTTTCTCAGTCTCATTGGTAACAATAAGCAAGGGTTAGATGATACGTCTGTCAGTGCCAATATGGCAGGTATTTCATGTAATTCATTTTTTGATAATAAGTGTTCTAAATGGGTTGTTGACTCAGGAGCTAGTCAACATATGATTAACTCTGAGTCTCATCTTCAAGATTCAGTTGATGTTTCTAGACTGAATCTAAGGGTTAGTCACCCTAATGGTTCTTCAGCTCAAATTAATAAAATTGGGAATATGCAGTTATCAAGTTCTCTTACATTGTTTGATGTTTTTGCTGTTCCAGATTTCAATGTTAATTTGTTGTCTGTTCATAAGTTGTGCAAAGACAGTAAGTGTGAAGTTGTTTTTAATGAACATAATTTTCATATTCAGGATTCACAGTCCAAGGGGACGGTGGAGACTGGTAATCAATCTGGTGGTCTTTATTATCTTGATCCATATATAGCAGGTAATAAGTCCTCTGTTTCGAAGAATGTTTGTTGTGTGTCTAAATTTACTTGGCATAGTAGACTTGGTCATCCTGCTGACCAAGCTTTAAACATTCTTAGAGATAAACTTAATTTTAGTAATGTTTCTCTGCCACCTTGTGATGTTTGTCATAAGTCTAAACAGACCAGAGATGCATTTCGTAATAGTTGTCATGTGACAAAGTCTCTTGGTGAGCTTATTCATCTGGATGTGTGGGGACCTTATAGAGTTGAATGTATAGGAGGTTTTAGGTTCTTTTTGACTATTGTTGATGATTACTCTAAAGCTACTTGGGTTTTTCTCCTAAAGTCCAAAGAAGAAGTTTTTCAAAATTATGTGGTGTTTTTTAATATGTTGAAAAATCAGTTTCAAGCTCTTATTAAAACTATAAGAACTGATAATGGTACTGAGTTTACAAATTCTCGTTTTAAAAGTTTTAGTGATAATCATGGTATTGTTCATCAAACTACTTGTGTTTACACTCCACAACAGAATGGAGTTGTGGAGAGGAAACACCGGCATATTCTCAATGTTGCTAGGTCTTTAATGTTTCAATCAGGAGTTCCATTAAAGTACTGGGGTGATGCTATTCTCACATCTGTTTTTTGATTAATAGAACTCCTTCTTCTGTTTTGAAAGGTCTTTCTCCATATGAGTTAGTTTATAAAAAATCACCTAACTTTGATAATCTTCGTGTGTTTGGTTGTTTGTGCTTTACTACTAATCTAAATAATTCTGATAAGTTTTCTCCTTGTTCTGAAAAATGTGTTTTTATGGGTTATTCTTTAGACAAGAAAGGATATAAAGTTTTGAGTCTTGATTCAAATTCTATGTTTGTTTCCAGGGATGTTAAGTTCTACGAATCTGTGTTTCCATTCAGAATGCAAAATCCTGTTTTTAGTAGTCCTAGTAATGTTTCTAGTGGGTTTGATCCATTTTCCTATGATGATCCTGTATCTACTAAAAATTATGTTGATGATGGTGTGTCTAGTAGAACTCAGAGACTGGAGCATCATTTAGATGGTGCTAGTTCTCCTTTAAGTCCTAGTAGAACAGATCATACAAGGAAAGATTCAGATACTAGTTTGAGATTTGAAGAGTTCAATGTGCCTTTATTTGATGGGTCTGGTCCTAGTTCTATTAGTTCTCCTGACTCATCTGTCAGGACTGAGGAAAATAATTCTTTTGTTCCTAATTCTTCTGATATTCAGTCTATTGGTATTTCTCGTGAAAGAAGAGAAACTAGACTTCCATCTAAATTCAGTGATTATATTGTAGAAGGAAAATATACATATGGCATTGAAAAAACTCTTAATTGTTCAAAGTTAACTTCTGAAAATAAATGTTTTGTTTCTAATCTTGATAAAACTGTTGAACCTCAATCCTTTGATGAGGCATCTCTTAACCCTGAATGGGTTAAAGCTATGAATCAGGAAATGGAAGCTTTGTATAGGAATAATACCTGTAT